CCACGACTTGACCCTTCACCAAGATGCTTATTGATGCCACAGAAACCTGCCAGACTTTCTACTTATGGATGGCTATTTGGGCTACAATCGAATAAAGATGGCTTTTGAAGATGAAGAAGCTACAGCCTTCTTGACTCTCAAGGGAGTCTACTGCTATACGGTAATGTCATTCAGGCTCAAGAATGCAGAAGCGCCCAATCAACGGGCCATGACCACCGTCTTCGAAGATATGATGCATGAAGAGGCGGAATGCAATGTTGATGACCTTGTCGTCAAATCGGGCGAAAGGGCCGCCCATATACTGGATCTCGAGCAGGTTTTCAGCTGGCACCATCTTCATCGGCTTAAGATGAACCTGTTAAAAAGTGCCTTCGACATCCAATCGGGTAAATTCTTAGGGTTCATAGTGAGATACTGCAAGTGGGAAATTGTGCATGTCAAGATCAAGGTCATACAAGAAATTCCACCACCCAGAAATCTTCGAGAGCTTAGGTCGCTCCAAGGGAAGCTCACAAATATTCGAAGATTCATCTCCAATCTCCCAGGATGGTGTAAGCCTTCTACCCATTTGTTAAATAAAGACACGCGTTTTGAATGGGATGAAGCATGTCAAGAGGACGCCAAGAATATTAAATCTTATCTCTTGAAAAACCCCGACTTATCCGCCCCAATTCCTAGGAAGCCTCTCATTCTATACGTGACGGTTCTTGATGTCACTCGGCACTTTACTTGCTCAAAATATTGAAGAGGGAAAAAAAAAAAACCTGTACTACCTCAGTCGAAGCATGAAAGGTGTTGAGGAGAATTATTCCCCTATCGAGAAGATGTGTTTGGCTCAGTGTTCGCAAAACCGGCCGGTTAGATCGCTACCGGTGGGGTGGCGAGTCCGGTTAGGGCCGATTTTATGGCACACCTCATAAGACGGCACTCTCCCAAAAAAATCGGCACCAAAACCGGCCGGTTTGAGGTCGAACCGACGGTTTTTACTATAAACTGGCCGGGTTTTTCGTATCCGGTTCGGTTTGCCGTTTTAACGAAATAACGGCGTTTTCAACACATCAAATAACAGTCGTTATTTGATACATGCCCGTTATTTTTCACAGAACAAGATTTTGCAGCTTTTTTTTTGTATATTTTTTGTTTTTTTCGGTCAACTATTGATGTTATACACCGGAAAGTTTCTATAAATCGTCAATTATTGAATCAAAATTCCAAAAACAAGAGTTCTTGGTGGATTGAAATGGGAATTTTGAAAATTAGAAATTTCCGCCATTCTATCAAATGCAGCTTCAATACCTCATAGATTTTCATAAAAATGGAGGGCTTTGATTCATTGTTGAAGGATTCAACGTTCACATATTTCAAATTTTCCAAAATGATGAAGATTTGAGGTTTTTTTGGGCCCGAAGTACTGCTGCCCGAAGAATTGTTTTTATCCAAACAAATTGATTTTTGATCGATCAATTGATCGATTTTTATTGAATTGATCGCTGAAGTATGATAATAAAGGCCTCATAGATCAAATAAACTAATTATTTCGATTTACTATTGTTTAAATATTTTTATATCGATTATTTTTTGCCGCGTTTTTTTCCTGAAATTTTTGTAAAGTGAAAAATCCGTAATTTTTTGAATAAAGATCTCAATAGTGAAAAAATCTTTATGAAATTTGGGGCATTGGAATCTTAATTAAAGTATCTATCATATCCCCATGTCAATTTGTTCAAAAAATGAAAGATTTGGGGTTGATTTTGACTCTAAAGTTTTTGTGTTCTTGGGCTCGATTTTAGGGTTCTTAAAAAAAAATTTGTTTTTTAATAAAATTACATTTTGTTTCTATAAAAATATGTTATTTGTGATGAATATGAGAAAAAAAAAGAATATATTCTCTTTTTTTAATTTTATATATTTTTGGTGAGATTTTTGGATCTCTTTTTATGTTATTTATGTAATTTTACAAAAATAGGTTTTTTTTTATGAATATCAGAAAAAAATATTTCCTTCTTTTTAAAGTTATATATTTTTGGTGAGCTTGTTGGATTGGTTTTAATGTTATATATTTTTTTTATAAAAATATTTTTTTTTGTGATGAATATGAGAAAAAAATTTATTTCTTTTAAGGTTATTTTTGGTGCATGTTACTGTTGTCTTAGTTCTCAACTTCTTGCTCAGTTGTGACATTTTATTCTAATTTGTTTTTTATTTGTTAAAAGCTATCTATCATTTTTTGCAACTTCGTACTCCTTAAATCTGTTTATTAGCCTCTATGAAGAAAAGAGGTAGAAACTAAAAAGTGTTTTACTCATCTCTCATATTTCCACATGCCGAAATGGATAAAAAATTAACCTTTTTTTTTTATTATTAATATGCATCTTAATTCTACATTTTAAAGTTAACATCTTATATAAAAAAAAAAAAATTCAAGTTAAAACCTAACTCAAAAGGTTACTGAGTAAATGAGGTTTGGCCCTTTTAAAATCGATTTGGCCATTTGAAAATTGACTTGGCCATAATTTTTTAAAATATGTGATTTGGCCATTTGAAGCAACACTTTACACCTTGACCCACACCTTGGATTTGATAACCAAGTTACTGAGTAAATGAGGTGCCCTCTCTTACTACCTTGACTCACAACCCTTCGAAAAACTGAGAACATCATGCTGCAAAAAGATACGCTCTGAAATCCAATTCTAAACTGTATTAAAGGGTTTTTCAACATTAAAACAACATTTTCAACATCAACATTAAAACAATATAGAAGCATATATTGTTGCATCA